CGTGAACTCATCCACCAAACAATAAGGAGCAAAGTGCCGTCCATTGCATTAAAGTTCCACCATTTCATCAGCATTCTAAGGGGGTGCAGCATATCACTCTTGTTTATTGATCATTTCGCTTCTAATTTCCAAATGACGAACGAAAGCGTGGGGTGGTGATGGCAGACCGAATCAGCGAGCTGCCAGATGAAGTTTTGTTGGCATAATGTCTTTCTTGTCGCTAAGGGAAGCAGCATGCGTTTCCTTTCTACGCGATGGAGGTATGTTTGGAAATCTACTTGGTCTCTCAATTTCAATGTCGATCTTAAAGCTTTGGAAAGGGAAAGGTACTTCACTAGCCTGAAAAATTAAAGGAAAGGTACGTCAAGTGGGTCACTTTGGAAAAGCATCAAGGCATGAGTATCGAACAATTTCGGATTTGTTTTAAGTTTTTAACCTAAATCAGCGATATTCAACTTCCCTTGATAAATGGATTCGATATGCAACGGAAAGAAGAGTTCAAATTCTTGAGTTGAACTTCTCAACAGAATTTTCTACGTCATATAAGGGTTCTGTGCACCATGTACCATGCTATACTTTTTCTCCCCGCCAACTTTTAGGTCTAGTCAATAACCTTGCATCAATGTTGGCTTCAACTTCCTCAGAGTTGTAAAGTTCAAAAATGTTTGTCTTGCTGGAGGTTTCGAGTACTTTTTGTCTAACTGTCCAGCTCTCGAATGATTAGCAATATATGATATTCCAGATTTGCAAAAACTGAGAGTTGTCGGTCTGTCAATTCCATTGAAGTACTTGGTGATAAAAAATTGTGACAATCTCGAAGCATTCTGATACGTGATGCAAATCTTGTTTCATTCACTTATTTTGGACTTAGGATGAACATGATTATTAGAAATGTACCGCTGCTGGCTGAAGTATTCGTCGCGGGGAACACTAAAAATGATTTTCTTAAAGTTGCCTTCACTCGATGCTTTTCAATGATATTGTATATTCATCACAATCAACGGTATATATACAATCATATACAATCCTATCAGAATCAGGAAAGAATAATTACACCCTAAACTAGAAAACCAAATATGGTAGGAATCCTAATACAAGTCAACCCTCCCCCTCAAGTTGGTACATGAATGTTACACATGCCCAACTTGTCTAGAAACCTCGAGAACTTGTCACTAGAGACCGCCTTAGTGAGAATATCTGCTGCTTGGTCTTCAGTTCCTATGGGAGGAACCTCAATTACTTTGCTGTCTAGCTTCTCTTTAATAAAGAACCTGTCAACTTCTACATTTGGTCCTATCATGTTGCACTGGATTATGAGCAATATCACAAGCAGCTTTATTGTCACAAAAAAACTTCATTGGCTGACCATGTTTGACCCCCAAATCTTGTAACAGAAACTTAAGCCACAAGATTTCACAAATACCAAGTGCCATGCCTCTAAATTTGGCTTATGTGCTTGACCTTGATACGATATTCTACTTCTTGCTTCTCCACATTACTAGATTTCCCCCAACAAATGTGAAATACCCGTGACAGGTAACATGTAGACACATAATTGTTTAATGGATAGATTCTTGAATCCAAATTTGACTTACTCATGGAATACTTGTGTTTACACTTAGGATCTACCTCATAAGTGGGTTTGGGAATACCTCGATTAATACGCTCTGGAAGGCGATGGAGTGGAGGTGCATCCAGTGTGGAAGACGATTGGTTATGAGAATTAACAGAAGATGAGTTCATAACATTGGGAAAAAAATCTCGTGACAGTTGCTGTGGTTGCTGCTTGGTTCCATCGCAAATAGTGAGATGCAGCTCATTTTCAAGCCCAAACCCTGTAGGACTCGTGTGCTGGTCTTCCTCCACATTTGTTTGCTGCTGCTTAGTGGGTTGATCACCAAAACATGCAGGCTGCTGCTTTTCTCCACATGCCAAATGTGATGACTGCAATGGCTACTCTTCGTTCAACTCGTTTCTAACCACAGGAAAGTGATCAAAGGTCAAAACTTCACTATTATCTCAGGTCAGAACTTCACTATTTCAGTACTCCGCCTAAAGTAAGGACGCAGAGGATCCAAAAAACATTTCATTCTCATGGAAAATCACATCTTGAGTGATAAACATTTTCTTACCCGGAGGATGATAACAACGATATCCTTTCTGGGTAGTGGCATAACCCAAAAATACGTAACGAATGGCTCGAGGCTCAAGTTTATTATTCCGTTGAGGAGGATGGAGGTGAACAAAAGCAACACACCCCAAGACCCGCGGGGAAAGATTTGGAGTCGGTGGACTGCTAGTATGAGACATGAAGGCCTGAAATGGCGTATGGAAGTTGATCGTAAGGGAAAGAAGATGATTAATAAGATAGGTCGCAGATGTAAGTGCCTCGCCCCAATAATGTAGAGGCAGATGTGCTTCAATGAGTGAAGCACAAACCATTTCTAACAAGTGTCTATTTTTGTGTTTGGCAACCCCATTCTGTTGAGGAGTATACGGGCACGTGGTCTGATGAACAATACCATGCAGTTCAAGGAAGGAACGAAGTTCCATATTAACATATTTGCCACCATTGTCACTTCTAAGAATCTGGATATTCTTGTTGTATTGCGCAACAACCATTTTATGGAACTTTTGAAAGGCCGAACTAACTTCGCGTTTCGACTTTAACAAACTAACCCAAGTCATTATGGTACAATCGTCAATAAAAAGTAACAAACCAGTGAGCACCACCAAGAGTAGCTATTTTTGACGGCCCCCATACATCAGAATGCACAATCATAAAAAGAATGGTACTTTTATTTAAACTAGGAGGAAAGGAAGTTTGATGGCTCTTAGCCATTTCACACACATCACACTTAAACTGAGAAACATCACTCTTGACAAACAAACTAGGAAATAACTTATGTAGATAACCAAATGAAGCATGCCCAAGGCACCGGTGCCACATCCAGATGTCCGACACTTTATTAGTATCCCCTTGAGAATCATCAACGGAAAGAGCTTGAGTCAGCAAGCCATAACTACTAGTTGTCAACTCCAAGTAATAAAGCTTCACTCTTCTAATACCATAACCAATCGTCTTCCGCATCCAGATGTCCTTAAAAACACAAAAATGGGGCAAAAAAATAACCAAACAGTGTAAGGCAAGGGTTATTTGAGCAACGGATAACAAATTATAATTTAGAGAGGGAACCAACAATGTCAAGTTTCATGGTATCAGAAAGGGAAACAATGCCTTCCCTAGTAACAAGGACAACATTACCATTGGCAACGTTGACCACGGTTTGTGTGGATGTTTTTAGTGATGGAACCTATCTAGAATCACAAGTCATATGTTTATCAATTATCCATGTATTATTCATAACAGAAGTAGAAGTACTTAGTGCCTTACCATCACTACTTGCCACAACAATCATGGCAGACACCTTGTCCGCTATCTGGTTTAAATCATTCTTGGTTTCTGCAACAGAGGCTCGAGATTTGTTGCATCGAGGATCATGGGTCTTATCCTAATTTCAGCTCAAAACAACAACTCTTGGAGTGTCCTGTCATGCCATAGTGTGGGCACTTACCTTGGGGACGATCTCGGCTTGTTCGGCTAGGACGAGTTTGTCCTGGCCGATTCTGAGACCCGTCTCGGTTCGACCAAAAAGATGATCCACAGGCCTTTGCTGCCATGGCAAGGGGTTCACCCTAACCTTCATCTTCATTGCTTCATTTCGATCGGCTTCTCCACGAACATATGCATAAGAAGCCTGAAGGCCAAGAGGGGGATCATTCCGTAACACTTCTCCACGAACCTGATCAAACACATCATCGAGACCACCAAGAAACACATAGACTCGTTGTCTCTCAGTGGATTTTTGAAACACTTTGACGTCGTTTTCACACTCCATGGATACTTTATTAAAGTGATCCAATTCTTGGAAAATCTCAGTTAGCTCCCTGAAATAGGTAGCCAAAGGTCAGCCATTCCGACGAAGACGTGATGCCTTCTGATTCAACAAATAAATTCTAGCCTCGTATTTCTCATCAAAGTAGGTCGCCTTAAGAGAGTCCTAAATTTCCTTCGAAGTAGACAACTGAATGTACCATTTCATAATCTCTGGCTTCATTGACGACAAAAAACCAACTCTTAATTTTTTTGATCTTTAAAGAACCAATCATATTTAGGATTGTCTTCGTTAGGTGCCTTGATAGACCCACAAAGATATCCCATCTTCTTCCTTCTGGCAATATGGATTTGGACGAGAGGAGCCCATAAATCATAGTTCTTTTCATCCAATACCATATCAATATTAAAGCTTGAATTCTCTGATTGCACCATAATTGGAGCTGCCGCTGGTACAATCTTAAAACTGACCCCCTTTTCTTCAGCCATCAGTCTTGCTGTCAGTATAACTTAAAACCTGCAGCGCTGTGATGGGAATTTGGAACATGGTAACAGACTGACAAAGCAGCGTTGTGGTGGGAATCTGGAACAATGCGAACAGACTGACAGAACGGGGCAACAACAACTCTCAGTTGCTCGTTGCAATTGATCAGGGATATGGGTAGCAACAACTCTAAGTTGCTTGCTACAATTGATCAGGGACACGGCAAATACAAACCCAGTTAGGGTTCGATGTTTTTTTTTTTTCCTAACTCGGCTCTAATGCCAAGAAGAAAGAATGCTTTTCAATGATATTGTATATTCATCACAATCAATGGTATATATACAATCATATACAATCCTATCAGAATAAGGAAAATATTTTCAACCACAAAGCATCCTATAATTGTATGAGCCAAAGTACATAAATGAAATAAATTACGATGGACAAATAATTGGATTCAATATATTTCATCTGTAATCAAGGAACACTTTTTATTCTGCAGCAAATAAGTGCATGAAATAAATTACAATAAGGGAAACATCTATAAAGAAACTTTCTTCTAAAAGGAAGACTCGACGTAGGGAAAACTTATTTATAGGAAATACCCACTTTCTTTGATTCTCAGGTGGTCAAAGGATCTAGAGTACGCAATTCTCCGCAGGCTATCATACGTGGCTTCGAAAAATGCAGCTTCTGAGTTGAAAGGGGTTGAGAAACATGTTTCATTGTTGGACGGGATCGCGGATTGGGATGCAAGCATGAAAATGCATTCTTCACATGAGAGAGAACTTCCCCTGCTTCTTGATGCGTTGGAGGCAAAATGCGTTGGTCTAGAACATCCACAATTGACATTTGATGGGCTGCTAATGCAGATGATGATGACGATGAAGACGAAGAAGGCACTGATGAGAATGATGAGAAAAAATCTCCAGGATGCCTCCCCTTAATTATTTCCAATGCGACCACTCCAAAGCTATAAACATCGCATTTCTCGTTCAATTCCATTGTATATGCAAGCTCTGCTCAAAATAAGCTTATAGCAGTGGGATTATTAGTATGGGTATCTAATAAACTATATCAGAGTCTTCAACGTTTAGAACATTTTGTCATCATGAAAAAAAACGGACTAGAATATTTTTTGGATCACCAATTAATCTTAATATAAAAGTAGCATATTTTGGATCCCCAGTAACAACCAAATTATCGTATACACAATTTCAAAGTTCTATTCCAGATCAAAGCATTTAACTTATGCTTAACGACGAAAAGGAATAACATTCAGCACAAAAATATCCAAGAATAAATTAAGAATCATTGGTCTACAAGAAAAAGTAGAAGAATATATAGAACAGAGAACAATATTACCTGGTGCAACATATCCATATGTGCCTCCAACGACAGTCAAATTAGTTGAGTCTCGATTCAAAAACTTAGCAGTGCCAAAGTTTGAAGCAGAGGCATCATATTCAGAATCCAGCAAAAGTTTCTTACTTGATATGTCCCGGTGCATAATTGGTGGTACGACATCGTGGTGCATGTATGCAAAGGCATCAGCTACACCGTTAACAATATTCACCCTTTTTCTCCACCCCACTTCTTTAGCTTTTTCATCTTTGCTCAAAATTTTAGCCAAGCTTCCTCTTTCAAGAAACTCGTACACCAAGAACGAGTGTTGGTGATGCAAACAGGAACCATAAAGCTTCACGATGTTCCAGTGCCTTACCTCTGTCTATGGTCTTATTTCATTAAAGAATCCCTCCTCCAAGTTCTTCTCGCCATCCCACAAGTGATGGTGTTTCTTCACAGGCATTATGATGATAGATGACAACTTTGCTTTGTCGACGCTTCCTTGTCCTCTGCTCCCGATGCAATATGGAATCAAACTCTTCTGTCGCCCTTATGATTTCCTCATACATTGACTTTCCATCAAAATACAAAACTAAAAATGATACTTCTTCATGCATGTTTTTTCCTCCTTTATCCCGATGCTTCTTCTTTCTTTCCACTACTAAGACAATTGTAAAGAAAGCACAAAGAAGGAAAACTGCTGATAGAAGGATGAATGTGATTACAAATACCCACTTGTGGTTCTTTCTTAAGCCATGCGTATAGGGTTGCAAAGATGTAACATTGTCGCACAATCCTTTGTTCCCTTATACAGCTTTTGGGGGAGCTTTTTGAAACGCTTTGTTGTTGGGAAGGGGACCTTCCAATTCATTGTAAGATATGTCAACATATGATAAGCTATGCATGCCTTCAAAACTTGATGGTACGAAACCCGAGAGATTGTTGTGGGAAAGATTGAACGTCTCCAAACTCTCCATATTGGTGATTTCTGGTGGTATACTACCTTCAAGTGAGTTGTAACTTAAATCAAGTTCGTTCAACTGAACTAACTTCCCCAACTTAACTGGAATTCCTTGAGAAAAGTTGTTGTTGCTTAAATTTAGATGGTGCAGTCTGAGAAAGGAACCTAGATTGCTTGGAACTAACGCATTGAATTTGTTTGATGACAAGTCAAGATATTCAAGATCAATTAGTGATCCAAATTCCAATGTTATAGGGCCTGAAAGTTTATTTCTATTCAACATCAACTTCAGCAAAGAAGTCATTCTCCTAAATCCCTTCGGAATCGCCCTAACTAAGCGATTTGAAGAAAGATCTAGCACATGAACTTTTTGTGCATTGACAATATCAGGAGGTATGTTACCAGTAAGGTTGTTTATCGCAATTAGTAGGGTTTCTAATTGTGGCATTATCCCCAGCTTTGTGAGATTTCCCCATAGAAGTTATTGTGGCTCATATCTATAAAATAAAGATTTGGATAGACACCAAAGTCTTCAGATACATTTCCTATCAACTGCTTTCCATCAAGATGGACTCTCATTAAGCTTGTGCAGGTTTTCAAGCTTTTGGGGATTGGACCAGCCAAATGGTTATTGGTTATTGAAACCATTCTGAGTAGTCCACCACTGCAAATATTTTGGGGTAAATGACCAGAAATATGGTTATTATACAACCACAGACCAGTCAAATTCTTTAAGTTCTCTATCTCTTTAGGAATAGAACCAGAAAGATGATTTTCACCCATACTGAGATTTGCAAGAGATTTTAGGTTACCTATCTCTTTAAGAATAGAACCAGAAAGATTAATTTTGTAGAGATCGAGAAGGGTAAGGTTTGTGAGATCTCCTACGAATGTTGGGATTGAACTATAGAGCTGATTTTCACTCTGCCTAAGGTTCACAAGAGATTTTAAGTTACCTATCTCTTTAGGAATAAAACTAGAAAGATTATTCTTGTAGAGATAGAGCTGGGTAAGGTTTGTGAGATCACCTACGGATGTTGGGATTGAACCACTTAGCTGATTCTTATACAAGCAGAGCCACACAAGAGATTTCAAGTTACCTATCTCTTTAGGAATAGAACCATAAAGATTATTTTTATAGAGAACGAGAAGGGTAAGGTTTGTGAGATCTCTTGGCTACTTAATTTCTGCAACAACACCTTGACATTATCCCCAGTCGCACCCATCAACCTTAAGTGATGGTGATGCCCATCACCTAGAGGTGTCAAATCAATATATTGGGTTATTAGTAGATATCCATTAGGACTTAATTTAGTTTGATTTTACTTTACAACATCATCACCACTATCAATCTCACTTCTATATTATGGTAATATCAATTTTTGCTTGATTTTGGTTGGATTTGTCTATTCCGTCAAAATATGGTGATGTGGAAGGGTAATTTAGTAATTTCATCCTAGATGGTTTATTTTTGTTGCCACATCACCGTAGAGAATGGCACTCTAAGTGCCACCCAGGATGAAACTACTAAATTATCCTTCCATGTTAGCATATTTGACAGAATGGATGGAATACGACCGAAGTGAAGGTGAAAATTGAGCTTAGGGTGTAAAGTGTTGGGGCTGGGGATTGGTACCAAAAACTAAGCCTTTTAACAATAATATGCCCTCCTATGTTTTGGAGTCTTTCTTTTTGTGTTGTACTGGTTTTTCCCATGACTTCATTTAATGTCCTTTTCATTTGTTTCTCACTTCACATGGTTTGAGTGGCCTTAAAAATGAGCGTGTTCGTAGGGTTAATTGATTGAAGAATTACACATGCATGATTGAAACATCATTCAATTCTGAAATGGACTTCTATGATGGTTCGGGGAAGACTTCGGAGTTTTTCATAGGTACGCTTGATCAAGTCGGTCTTTGTGTATAAATGAAATTTGATGAAATGAAATGAACTTATGATTGAAATGAGTTTTTATGAATAAGATGGAACGGGTTCTTAATTACTGTATTATGAAATGAAATTGATGAAATGAACTTATGATGGAAGTGAGTTTTTATGAATAAGATGGAACGGGTTTTTAATCGATTGTTATGGTATTATGAAGAGACTCGTTTGGTACACATGATTGAATTGGAATGAATAACCTACAACATTAAAGGTATGTTGAAGGGAAAAGTTAAAAAATTACGGCCACCTAGAGGACATAAGATGAATTTTTTATTTTTTTTAGTACATCGATGTTCTATACTAAAGGGAGGGAGAGTTCGGTTAAATTACACAATGGGCATCCTAATTTGGTATCAAATTCGCCATCCACGAGATTCAAATATAAACCTCTCACTTCCAATTGAATAGAAATACCACCAAACCGTAGTACTCAGTGGCAAGATGAATTACTCATGAAGAAAACTTATTCATTCTAATTCTCTAATCCCCTCCAAATGAAAAGCCATTCACTTCCACAATTAATATACCTTGAAATTTGAAAGTTCTCCATTCCAATCCAATTATGTGTATCAAACGAGCCCAAAGATTTGGGATGAAGCCATTATTTGGAAATGGATAGGGCTAGATTCTAAGCTTATTTTTGTTTTCGTTCCTCCATGAAAAATCTTGCTAAAATTTTGGCCAAATGAATTCTAACACATTGTATCTTGTAATTTGAGTTTCTAAAAATCTCAAAAGAAGACGTTAAAAACGCATGTTTGGTAACTATTTGGGATTTAGAAGAAAAAAAGAACAAGAGGACAACGACCGAGGGAAAGGTGAGATGAAAGTGAAAAACAATTTAAAATAGGGAATTTTAACGAAAAGCATCCGGTACTGTTCAGTTTAATGAAAAACCACATTTTTACACTAAAAAGTCAATCCTGGTACTATTCACTTCACCCTTTATTTTGTCCTTATCATTAAAACTCAAAGTTTTCAAGCCCTTTTCATTAGTTTTCCTTTTAAAATATTTTAGATCTTAGTTTTTAGTTTGTATTTCTTTCCTCGTACATTTTCTTCTACATCTCCCACAATCCTTACTCCACTATTATATATCCAACATTACTCTCATGTATTTCCTTCTCAAACACAAAAATAAAAACTAAAAAATGGAAAATGAAATGGTTATCAAATAAACGAGTAATGTTAGGGAGAACACAATTGTGTACCACATTTGAATACATAATCTGACAAGTGAATAATACAACTGGCAGTATATATGGCACATCTTCCGTTCGTTAGTTTCTAGAAAGTGTGAATTTTTTTTAAAAGACTGCACAGACATTCATTCATACACACATACAAATGGCAGTTGCCTTGCCAAAGCAGTACAACCCTCTGATTAAGAAAACTTCAGAAACCGAATACGTCCGAATACGTCAGTCATTCCAACTACGCACTTGCTTCCTACCAAAAGATAATTAGCCAAAGATTAAGCGTGCCTTGGTTGAACCATTTCACCAGTTTATGAAAAGCATTCAGTCAAAGTATGCAAAAAGAAAGAGCATTCCTAAACTGACCTCAAAGTCACTGGTAATATTTGCGGATAATATTCTCCATAGGCATGCATCAGCATGAGTTTTTCGGATCGCCTTTCTTTGAGCAGCATTTCTGTGCCCCAACACGAATTATAATTACTAGAGATATTATTTCAGGTGAATTGAATTAAACAAGGAACAATGAATGTCCCTAAGCAAATTCATCCTTTTGAATTTTAAATTACGATGTACAATGGACAAGTGCATGAAAGTATATAGAGTCATAGCAAAAAAGTGAATGAAATAAATCACAATAAGGGAAACATCTATAAACAAACTTTCTTCTAAAAAGAAGACTCGACAGAGGGCAACTTATTTATAGGAAATACCCACTCTCTGATTCTCAGCCAGTCAAGGGATTGAGAATAAGCAATTCACTGCAGGTTATCATATGCAATGGCTTCGACAAATGCAACTTCTGAGTTGAGAGGAGTTGAGAAACTTGTTTCATTGTTGGACGAGATTGCGGACTGGGATGCAAGCAGGAAAACGCAATCCTCACAAGAGAGAGAACTTCCCCTACTTCTTGATGTGTTGGAGGCGATATGCGTTGGTCCAGAACATCCACGATCGGCATTTGATGGGCTGGTAATGCAGATGACGATGACGACGAGGAAGAAGAAGGCATTGATGAGAATGATGAGAACATATCTCTGGGATGCCTTCCCATGACTATGTGACCACTCCAAAGCTATAAACGTCGCATTTTTCGTTCACTTCCATTGTATATGCAAGCTCTGCTCAAAATAAGCTCATAGCAATGGGATTATTAGTATGTGGATGCTATAATGACTTGATGAAGAGAAGCGTGATGTGAAAGCTAGAAGTTTATCAATTTAGCATGAGAGAGAGAGAGAGAGGGAGTTTGCAAGGATGCATGATGATCTAGGTTGGATAATTTGAGTTTCCTGGGTGGTAACAAGGCTCCTAATGACTGGGATATTTAGAGGAAAAGCTATAGAAAACACTAAGCTTGCAGGGGTGATGATTCTTGAGGTTTCAAGGATGTTTGCACTTAGGGGGGCAATTTCCCTAGCTTGGTGCAGCACCTTCTAACGTTCTTTCTCTCTTTGGCATGTATTGTGTTCTTGGATCCCCTCATCTAGCCCTTTGATCTCTCTTTTGCACTTAGGGAGCCCTTTGATCCCTCATCGTGCCTTCTTCCTAATGCGTTGCTTTCCCGGGTCAGCCTTCCACAAGTGTTACTTCTAGTAACGCATCTCCTATCTTTAAGGCGTTGATCTTATGCACGAGTTAGGAAGGCAAAGTCAGCCTCCCTCCTCATTAAATGCTTGCTCTGCTGGCCTTTTACGTGATCTTAGGTCTTAGAGTTTGGTTCCTTCCTAACTAGATTGGTTGCCTTGCTAGGGAAAGAGGTAAACTAAGTCTGTTCTCTTTCGAGCTTGCCCATGTGGACTTCAAAGGCTATGGGTTTGGATCTTTGGGCGCCTAAGCAGTTGAAAGTCTTCCATAATCTTGACTCTACACACGCTCGATAAACTTCAGTAACTATCTACACCACAATTCACTTGACAAGCCCCAGACATGTGACTTGGGCTCATTTTAGCGTGAATAGTGGTTACCATGATAAAGCTTGGCATGACGAATATGCATAGGCATAGCATGATTTATATAAATGTCTGGTTTAATTATCGTAGTATGGCATGATTGTGAATATATTCCTTTCTCGATTTCGCACCTTTACATGTATTTGGGCTTGACTTGAAGCTTGTATAACAATTGGACCTCGAGACTTGATTAGGCTGGCATGTGACATTTTTGGACCTCAACATTGGCCCTCTTGATTATTTGGGCGATGAGAAACCTTGAATAGGCTGAATAATCAAACTCAAGCCCAAGACATTTTTAAATGTAGCCTTCCAAATGAGACTTTTCCCATTCCCGCGTTGCAGCAACTAGCGTCATGATGATGTGCGCCCTTGTTTCCCCTGCACGTGGGTATTCCCCCATTCCTTCACGGCAACTGCTTTAAACCCCTTTCTTCCTTAGGATAAGCATTTGATTTGTCTTTCCTTCTTCCTCTTTTCTCTAACTCCATTTGTTTCTCACACTCTTCTTTCTGCTTCATCCTCCATCTTCCATCGCTTGGTATCTTTATGTGTCCTGGGTTTTCAGTGCTAGTTGTGCTATTCATCGATAGCAAAACCATGTTTTGCACATGAACATGGAAAACAATGTATCTGTACTACTAATTAATTTTTTTATTGACTTAGGAGCGTGCTTGTGATTGTTCACTATTATGTGATTTGGCTTTTTTCACCTTTTCTGTTGTGCATTAGAGAAATCGTGCAAACACGAATCTTTACCTTCGGCCTTGATTTTGCATTTGAAGGAATTTGAATGTGAAACTATAGGCTCCCATACTTGTGGGAACGCTTCACTTACTATTTTTCTTTTGTTAAGAGAAACATGATTTTGAGGGAAATCGAGGCCCCTTAATTCCCTGATGTGATATCTCAGAGAAAAGGATAAAACTCACATTGGTCTTCTTTTACATTTGCAAAACCGAAAAAGGGTGTATTAATGTACTGACTAATATTTCTCTTTGTTTCCTTCAGCATACTTCTCCAGATTTTTTACTTGCTTTAACTTTACATATCGCCATGTCTTTGAAATTGCAGCTCACAACTCAATCAGGCTAACTCGAATCATCCAATATTGAGATTCATTCATCATATGATGACAACAGGTTCAATTAAATTGGCAATGCAATTTGGGTACTCCTTGTCAGAACATGTATAGAGTATCTGAAATTTCAAACCATGCAAGCAAGTACGTGAAAGTACATAGAGCCACAGCAAACAAGTGCATGAAATAAATTACAAAAACGGAAACATCTACAAAGAAACTTTCTTCTAAAGGGAATACTCGATGTAGGGAGAACTTATTTAGGAAAAACCCACTTTCTCTGATTCTCATGCAGTTAAAGGATCCAGTGTAAGCAATTCACCGCAGGTTATCATACGTAATGGCTTCGACAAATGCAGCTTTTGAGTTGAGAGGAGTTGAGAAACTTGTTTCATTGTTGGACGAGATTGCGGACTGGGATGCAAGCATGAAAACACAATTTTCACAAGAGAGAGAACTTCCCCTGCTTCTTGATGCGTTGGAGGCAAAATGCGTTGGTCCAGAACATCCATAATTGGCATTTGATGGACTAGTAACGCAGATGATGATGACGAGAATGAATAAGGCATTGTTGAGAATGATGAGAAAAAATCTCCGGGATGCCTCCCCATAATTGTTTCCAATGCGACCACTCCAAAGCTATAAACATCGCATTTATCATTCACTTCCATTGTATATGCAAGCTCTGCTCAGAATAAGCTCATAGCAGTAGGATAATTAGTATGGGTATAATAAACTATACAAGACTTCAATGTTCAGAAAATTTTGTCATCATGAAGAAATATGGACGAGAAATTTTTTTGGATCACCAATTAATCTTAATATAAAGCAAGTAGATTCTGGATCACTAGTAACAACCAAATTATCTTGTACATAATCTCGGAGTTCTATTACAAATCAAAATGTAACTCCTGCCTATCGACGAAAAGGAATAGTATTCAGAACAAAGTTATCCTAGAATAAATTAAGAAATTTATGCAAGATGTCAGAATCATTGGTCTAAAAGAAAAAAAACCAAAAGAATATATAAAACAGAGAACAATTATACCTGGTGCAATATATCCATATGTGCCTGCAACGGCAGTCCAATTAGTTGAGTCTCGATTCAGAAACTTAGCAGTGCCAAAGTCTGAAACCAAGGCCTCATATTCAAAATCCAGCAAAATGTTCTTGCTTGATATATCCCGGTGAACAATTGGTGGCACAACGTCATGGTGCATATATGCTAAGGCATTAGCTATACCGTTAACAATATTCACCCTTTTTCTCCATCCCACTTCTTTAGCTTTTTCATCTTCGCTCAAAATTTTAGCCAAGCTACCTCTTTCAAGAAACTCGCACACCAAGAATGAGTGTCGTTGGTGCAAACAAAAACCATAAGGCTTCACGATGTTCCGGTGTCTAACCTCTGTCAGTGCTCTTATTTCATTCAAGAATCCCTCCTCCAAGTTCTTCTCGCCATCCCACAAGTGATGGAGTTTCTTCACAGCCACTATGACGGTAGATGACAAGTTTGCTTTGTAGACGCTTCCATGTCCTCCCCTCCCGATGCAATATATGGAATCAAAGTTTTCGGTCGCCCTTATGATTTCCTCATACATTGACATTCCATCAAAATTCAAAACTGAAAATGATACTTCTTCATGGATGTTTTTTCCTCCTTTATCCCGATACTTCTTCTTTCTTTCCACTACGAAGACAATTGTAAAGAAAGCACAAAGAAGGAAAACTGCTGATAGAAGGGTGAATGAGATTACAAATACCCACTTGTGGTTCTTTCTTGAGCCATGAGTACAAGGTTGCAAAGATGTAATATTGCCACACAATCCTTTGTTCCCTTGTACAGCTTCTGGGGGAGCTTCTTGAAACGCTTTGTTGTTGGGAAGAGGACCTTCCAATTCATTGTAAGATATGTCAACATACAATAAGCCGAGCATGCCTTCAATACTTGATGGTATGAAACGCGAAAGATTGTTGTGGGAAAGATTAAGCGTCTCCAAACTCTCCATATTGGCGATTTCTGGTGGTATACTACCTTCGAGTGAGTTGTAACTTAAATCAAGTTCGTTCAACTGAACTAACTTCCCCAATTCAGGTGGAATTCCTTGAGAAAAGTTGTTGTTGCTTAAATTCAAATGGTGCAGTTTGAGAAAGGCACCTAGATTGCTAGGAACTAACTCGTTGAATTTGTTTGATGACAAGTCAAGATATTCAAGATCAATTAGTGATCCAAATTCCAATGGTATAGGGCCTGAAAGTTGATTTCCATTTAACATCAACTTCAGCAAAGAAGTCATTCTCCTGAATCCCTTCGGAATCGCCCCAACTAAGCGATTTGAAGAAAGATCTAGCTCATGAAGTTTTTGTGCATTGACAATATTAGGAGGTATGCTACCAGTAAGGTTGTTTCCCGCAATTAGTAGGGTTTCTAATTGCGGGCATTGTCCCCAAGTTTGTGAGATTTCCCCATATAAGTTATTGTGGCTCATATCCATAAAATAAAGATTTGGATAGACCCCAAAGTCTTCAGACATATTTCCTGTCAACTTGTTTCCATCAAGACGAACTCTGAATAAGCTCGTGCAGAATTTCAAGCTTTTGGGGATTGGACCAGTCAAATGGTTATTGGATATTGAAAAGTTTCTGAGGAGTCCACCGCTGCAAATACTATGGGGTAAATAACCAGAAAAATGGTTATTATACAACAGTAGAGCAGTCAAATTCTTTAAGTTCTCTATCTCTTGCGGGATGGGGCCAGAGAGTTGGTTCACACATAGCAATAAGGATTCCAAGTTGGTCAGGTTACCAATTGAAGCAGGAACTGAACCGGAAAGATTATTTTTAAAGAGATTGAGAAAGGTAAGGTTTGTGAGATCTCCAATGGATGTTGAGATTGAACCATTGAGCTGATTTTCACTCAGATCAAGGTTCGCAAGAGATTTTAAGTTACCTATCTCTTTAGGAATAGAACCAAAAAGATTATTTTTGAAGAGGTTGAGAAAGGTAAGGTTTGTGAGATCTCTTATGGATAATGGGATTAAACCATTGAGCTGATTTTCACTCAAGTCAAGGTCCGTAAGAGATCTTAAGTTACCTATCTCTTTAGGAATAGAACCAGAAAGATTGTTTTTGTAGAGATGGAGAAGGGTAAGGTTTGTGAGATCACCTATAGATGTTGGGATTGAACCACTGAGTGGATTCTTATACAAGGAGAGCCACACAAGAGATTTCAAGTTACCTATCTCTTTAGGAATAGAACCAGAAAGATTATTATCGAAGAGGCTGAGAAGGGTAAGGTTTGTGAGATCTCCTACAGATGTTGGGATTGAACCATTGAGCTGATTTTCACTCAGATTAAGGTTCGCAAGAGATTTTAAGTTACCTATCTTTTTAGGAATAGAACCAGAAAGATTATTTTTGTAGAGATAGAGGTAGTTAAGGTTTGTGAGATTACCCACAGATGCTGGGATTGAACCACTAAGTTGATTCTCAGACAAATCTAGGTCCATAAGAGACTTCAAGTTCCCTATCTCTTGTGGAATACTCCCAAAAAACCGATTGTTACAGAGATTGAGATTGTTGAGTTTCGAAAGGGAACTGATCTGAGGTGGAATGGCATCAAAGAGATTATTGACGCCAAGGTTGAGGTATTCAAGATTGGGGAAGGACATGAATGAAAAATCATGTAGCGTACCTTGTATATTGGAATTGGTAAGGTTTATTGCAATGACACTTCCTGCAGCATTGCATGAAATACCAGTCCAGAAGCATGGAGGTACTTGCGCTTTGGAATTGCTTGAAGAATTGGTGGTGCCATTATTACTGGGAGAGTAAGTCCAAGAGGTGAGATTTTGGAGATGGGTTTGGTTTTGAAAGGTGGCTTTCCATTTGAGAAGTGCTTCTGCTTCAGTAGTAGCAAAGGCAACGTGACTTGGCGATGAAAGAAGAGGTATGTATAAGATAAGGCAGTAAGCCAGAGAGCATACTTTGTGAAAAGATAAAGATATCATGGCCTCTGTTCAATTTTGTGTGCATATTATAGTCTAGTTCTAGGGTTTCTTTATAATGCCATTCACTAGCTATTCAAATTAATTCGACCTGTACAAAGAAAAAAGGGTGGGAGAGAAGAACAAAACTACAGGACTTGCAAAATGTTCTGTTTTCCACAATAAATTGACATCTTCATGGTTCAGACCATGGAAAGTCTTTCCATTTGTTTCATGACTTTGGAGTCCTCCATATATTAACTTACTCCAAGTCAATTCCTCTGTCTCTTATAATACACACGTTAAATGCAATTTGGAAATTTGTCCTCAAATTTTTTTTCTTCAAAGTCTAAGAGCTTAATGACCTGCTAGCTGAAATGATGCTTAATTGACACTTCCTTTTTTTATTTTTAGTATTCCCCTGTATTTCATATGAGTATGATCAAAGATTCTCTTTAAATCTCGACATAGACATGTATTGGCCTTGTTTGCCAATTGCCTTTAATGAAAGGGAAGGAACTTTTTGCAAATGTTTGCAGTTTTTTATTTATTTATTTTTACGAGTCAAAGTCTTTGTTTCTTATCTTTGAAGATGAAATTCCAACTTATGCATTTTGTCAATGTATTGGATGAACTAGATAGTAATGTTCGCGCGTTGCTACAGGATTACAAATTAACTTTTTAGCAGTATATAAATTTAAGCTAATAAATGCATCTCGGTATAACATTGATTAATCTAAACAAAACTACCATGGCAAAGGAAAGAATTTTATATTCTACAGAAATTGACATATTCATGGCTCGGACCATGGAAAGGTTTTTCCAATAAATATATATATATATATATATATATATATATATATATATATATATATATATATATTTTATGACTTTGACGTCTTCCGTAAATTAACTACTCGAAGTCAATATCTTTGTCTCTTATATATATAAGTTAAATGCAATTTGGCAATTTGTCTTCAATTTTTTTCTTCAAAGACTAAGAGCTTACAGATCTGCTAGCTGAATGATGCTGAATTGACACTTCCTTTTTTTATTTTCAGTATTCTCCTGTATTTCATGACTATGATCAAAGGTTCTCTTTAAAGTCAGTGTCTTTCTTTCATATGACCATAGAGAATGGCACTCTTAGGGGTGGTTTAGGAGTGAGGTGCTTAAAAAAAAAACACCCATGAAAATAAGCTGTGAGGGTTTTAGGTGTTTGGTAAACTAAAAAAAATGGCTTATTTTGGAAGCTGCTGTGAGAATAAGCTGAAATCAAAGGAAAAGGCTGAAGATGCTATTTGCAGCTTTGGAAAATTGGCTTTTTTTCAAAGCACATGGAGCTACAGTGCTCCTTTAATGGAAAGACCCACTATCAAACTGTTTTTTTTTTTTTTTCCAAAAGCACTTTTACAAAAAAATTTACCAAACACTCTGTTGATTTGTTTCACAACCGCTTATTCTCATAGCACAGTCACTTATTCTCATAGCACAGCCACTTATTCTCACAGCACAGCCGCAACAATACAACTTCCTAAGCCCTAAAGCACTAGTCTGCCAAAACATTTTCATCAATTCGAATACAACTTTCTAAGCCACCACTTAGTACTACGGTCTAGTAGTATTCATCTTCACTTGTAAGTGAGAGGTCTAAGGTTTGGTTCTCACTAAAGGAGAGTTTGAACCACAGTATTGTTAGCCCATTATGAGACTAAGTTCGCCAATTCTTTTAATGTAAATTGTTGATGCACAAAACCGGATTGGTCTTGGAACAACGTAAATCCGACCGTGAATCTGCACAAACGCTCAAGAACACGAAGAACACAAAGAACACAAGGATTTTATCGTGGTTCGCCCCAATGTTTGGGCTACGTCCACACTGATTATGTATTTATTTGAGGGAATAGAGAGGGAGAGGGTGAGAGCTTCTGAGAGTTTTTGAGGGTGAGAGAGGGGATCTCAGGCCTATGAATTGGCCTCCGAGAGTGAGAGTGAGCTCTCTCCAATTGTGAGGGTGAGGGGTCCTTTTATAGAATAAGGACTCCTCACTTATTACATATTTGCCCCTTCCTTTATCCCATAATTACATTTAAGTCCCCTGAGTATTTGTACGAGATCTAAATACGAGGCCCTAAATATGGTATAAACAGTAGTCCCCCAAGTCTTCAGTCAAGAGAGTCTTTTGGCTGGAGACTTGAAATTCAGTCCATGTGTGGGCCGAAGTAACTAGATGTCGTCTAGAACTGATGCTCGATATGAGGCGGTGCCCAATCTGAAATGATGTTCAACTAGAAGTAGCACATGTTGTGAGGCCGCTTTGCTTGTAGCTTGTGTTGCCTTGGTTGGCTCGGCTTGTGGTGTTGAAGGTGAATGAGTCCCTTTTATAGGATAAGGGCTCACTCCTCAATACATAAGTGATGGGCTAGAGTCCCCCAAGTATTTTTCATGAGTGCTCTCTAAAAGTGAAGGAGTCCCTTTTATAGAATAAGGGCTCGCTCCTCAATACATAAGTGATGGGCTAGAGTCTCCGAAGTATTTTTTATGAGGCCCAGTTGAGGCCCAATATATGGTACATAATGTAGTCCCCCAAGTCTTCGGTCAATAGAGTCTGTTGGCTGGAGACTTCAAATTGAATCCATGTATGGGCCGAAGTGGTGGTTGTTCGGAGGCGGTATTTGTATACCCTGCACTGAAGCTTTGTAGGTGAAGCTTTGCAAGTGAAGCTTTGAAGCTAGAGCTCTGTAAATGAAGCTTTCGAAACTGGAGCTTTTATAAATGAAGCTTTTGAAGCTAGAGCTCTGCTAATGAAGTCTTTGAAGCTAGAGCTCTGTAAATGAAGTCTTTGAAGCTAGAGCTCTGTAAATGAAGCTTTTGAAGTTGATTGACATGAGTGATGCTCATGAATGTTTATGTTGATTGACATGAGTGATGCTCATGAATGTTGTCATGAGTGATGCTCGTGAATGTTAACATGAGTGATGCTCATGAATGTTTGACATGAATGATGGTCATGAGTGTTTATGTATGATTGTCATGAGTGATGTTCATGAATGTTTATGTATGAATGACATGAGTAATGCTCATGTATAATTTGGAATACTGGGCGTACTTTTGATCGCCTGGTTGGAGCGATTTTGGGCTTATGGGCCTTCGCCCTCCACAACATTCCAGTCCAACCCATTTATTTTGGGCTTGTCGTTGTTGTTCTTTTTTTTTTTTTTTTTTTTTTTTTTTTTTTTTTTTTTTTTTTTTTTTTTACCCTCTGATGGGGTTTATACATATTACCCTCGGATGGGGTTTATACATATGTCTCCGAAAGATAATAAATTACATCATTCTGGTAGAATGTTTATTCCTTACTTTTGTTTTTCTCTTTTCTTTTATACTTTTGTAATTATCTCAGTGGGTAGCCATATTTTCTGTTTTGCTCTTTTCCACCGCAAATCTCATGTTGAAAGGGTAGCCATGCTTTCTGCTTTGCTCTTTTACTTTGCTTTGCTTTTACTTTCCCTTTTCTTTCTCTTTTCCTTGCGCTGCATTTATTATTCTCTTGCTCTTGCTGAGGTCCAGGTGCATTAGCCTTTGCAGATGGCAGACAAAAGTAAAGTGAAGTGCTCTTTACTTTGCTTTACTTTGGCAGATTGCAAATGGCGGAGGCATAGACTTGTCTTTACAGCATCTTCTGGAAAGTCAAAAAGCAGCTTTTAAGGCCACTAGCAGCAATAGCCATCATTTCTCCTTTTTCCTTTTCTCTGCTGGTTTATTGAATCTCTTCTCACGCCGGTCGCATGCGCCCCGTCCATCCGAGAACTTACCACCCTGACTTTTTGATGAAATGATGCCCATAAATCATAGTGTAATCTGTTTTCTCTAGAATCGCCATAGCTGCATTCTTATACTCCTTGAACAAAGAGACCGAAGGGAACCTCCCGGATATGCTATGAGCAGCTATAGAGCTATCATCCCTCTCATCCCTCTGCGCCTGGCTCAAAGGGCTCGCAAAATTTTCGATCCCCGGTGATAAGTACGTTTCCGGCAACGAATAAAACGGCGTCGTAAGAGTGGTAGGCGTCGTGCGCTGCACATCTACGACAAGAGGACTAGTGTCGTTCATTTCGGAAGAAGAGAAACTCGCGATCTTGCTCGGGGAACGAAACGCCCAGGGTTCCTCGATGACCACGCCCTCTGATGCGGATGACTTGGAGTCAGAGTCGGCCGAGGAGAGTCGGGGGATGAGCAGAGAACCGTCAGACCAAGAATTGGGCTGAAGATGGGCAGAGAAGCAGTGCAGAAATATCTGGAATCACGGTGGTCCTCATCGTCGGAGTCGGGGTTGACGATCCAGAAATATCTGAGAACTTCAAACACTACAAAAATGGCAGCAGCTAATTTCCCAGCGTTTGGCTACTGAGAAGGTAGCAGATCACAAAAAAGGGGAAAAATCCAGTAGAGCTTATTCGATCTGGAGCCGAGTAGCGTCAAGTATCGAAAGTTTTACTGCTTCTTCTCTGACTCTCAGCCGTTCGAGTCGGTGATGTGATCCTCCCGGCTTTCAACAGTTCCTATGAATTTTGAAAATTTGAAATCCGATCTTTCTCGGAAAGATCAGAAAAGTGAACTTTCTGGGAGAAATTGGGAAATGAAATTGTTTGATCTCTCACAATTCCGCACAAAGCTGTTTGGGATCACCTTCAAGATTAAGACTAGCTGAGTAGCGATCCTCCATCACCTCTCTCCAACCTGTCGTCGACGGCGTCGGCGGAGCAGACCCAAATCCCGGGGACACCACCGGAATACAAAGCTTCGCCGGCCTCGTCCTCCTCATTCTCTTTAACAGAAATAAACGCAGCAGCGCCAACCTTAGAGAACAAAACGTAATTTTTCGTCCCAGCCTGCCGTCGTTCCCACACTTGGCAGCGCCAAACCCTCGCCTACCCCAGCCTGATCTTCTTCCGAGTTCCTTCTGAGTTGACCCGTTCTGTATCAATCGAGCCGTTCGATTTCGCCGCCCTTTCGTGTTGCTTTTCTTGCCGGAGCCCCGTATCAATCCAGGCAGTCGGACCTGGCGAGGTTCTCTGACCTGGTCGACCCGCCTGAGTCGTGCGCTGGGTGTCTGTACAAGTCACCAGGTCGGGATCCTGTCACTGCCGAGCTCCTATTGCAGAGGCCGACGTTGAGTTCCTCCATCATTTAACCAATCCAAGCCTTGAGCTCCATCACGTCATTGAT